CGAAACTATACATTACTCAATTTGTTAATTTAAAAGTAAATATTAAAAACAGATAAACATCAATTTTTGTGTGTCACGTGGTATGTTGAATGCAGCACTGGTTCAAAGTAGATGTTTGTGAAGTCAAAATACTAAGGCTATAGTTTCATATGAATTAGAAACTCAAATTACAGATATTAACTTTATATAGTTTATAATATAAGTTTAATAATATTATTAAGTTTATATTAACTAAAGATATAGTTCTTATCTTTTGTATTTGCTAAGATATTGCTCACGTAATAAATCAAACACAGTAGCACCCTACTCATCTCTTTCCATTATATACACTTATTTCTATATATGACGTGAATAACCAATCGGAAGCTGAGAATGTCCCCCTAGTGTTTTTCTTCAGCCTTTCTAACATACCTGACGCTATTTCTTTCTTTTGAACCAAGATTTCAATGAGCTAGGTTGTGTCTTTAGTCTGCTTGAAATTTCATATTTTTTTAAGACCCAATTACAGCTTAGTTACTAATTTTGATAAATTATAGTAGAATTCTATGGTATTGATGTAGTAATTTATGATTTTTTAGTTATTCAAAAGTATATTTATAAAACCAAAAGAAATATTTTGTTTCATATCCTCCACATGAAATTTTTTTAAAGGCTTAGCAATTGAGTAAAGAGGTCGTAACTAGAAGAGATATTTGTTTGCTTTACTTCTTTATTTACTGTTCTGTGTTTTAGGAAAAATAACTTTAAGAACTTATTTCAAAATAGCAATAATCTATATACATATATAATGTAGAATAATTGAAATGTGACTGTATTTTACAAAATACTAGTCAACTAAAACACAGACAAGACAAGTTACTTTGTACAGACCAAAGGTCACCATTATGTTATTTGATACGGTAACATGAGTGCATGTGAGCTACGTTGTTGTAACTTCTGTATTGTTAGCCAGGCATGGGTGAAAGGTCAATATAATGAAAATAATAAATATATATAAATGTAGAATGTTATGAGATTTAAGCTATTTTGTCTGAACATTTATGTTTTCATGTTATAATTTGTGTTCATTCTAGAATGAAAGATGCATAATTTATGGTTATTTCCTAATTTTTTTTATGGTGGTTGTGAAATGGGTCAAATTTACGTAACCTATATAGAGATTAATTACAGAAGATAACAGATAAAATATAAAGTTTTTTTCTTAAGAAACATTTGATAACTATCTGGACATTCTAAAGATCTCGCATGTGAAATTTTAAAATTTTCTGATGCAGAAAATTATTTTTAATCTTAAAATGAAAATTACTTTGCATGATAGCTAGGCAACATGTGAAAAGGAAAAAAAAAAAGGCATGAGAGAAACATTGCTTTACAAACCTTAAGACTTAATAAAAAATTAGATATTTTGTGTATGAAGGCATTGTAATGTTTGCTGATAAACTGCCAGATTTCGTTGACATTCACTTACTAACTTAAAAGTTATAGCATGAAAACTATAACTTGAAAGAGTTAAACAAAGAAGAGTTTGATAAATAAAAAATAATTTGGCAAAAATATAAAGGACTTGAGTTTTCTTATATTTATATATGACTGTGACAATTTATTAAAGATTACAAATTAGTGGACACACCCTTTCCAACTTGAAAGCTTGTTGTATAAAACAGAAAGATTTACAACAGATTTAGAATAAGTGTTACTCTTTTGTACTTATTATCATTCTGGTAGTGTGGGTGTAGAGCCTAAACATTTGCACAGGAGTAGTAAGACTGATATAATACACAAAAACTTACCATTAATTCTTTAACGGAAGAAGATACAATTTTATTTGGTACTGTGTATAGAATAATTTATTTTTTCTACTCAGAAAAGCAGACTTGTCATTATGAATCTATTGAGTTAAAAAACAATTTAAGGTACAATTAATTAATATGTACCTCTATACATTTGTTTGTATGGATGTAATAAAATGTAAGATCTGCATAGTGCTTCAAAATTTTTAATTCAGTAGTTTTGTACACCTTCCCTCCCCCGATGGCTCAGCAATAAGTCTGAGGGTTATAACTAGTAATCAAGTTTTGGTGTCTGTGGTGGGCAGAGCTCAGATAGACCATTGTGTAGCTTTGTGCTTAACAGAAAACAAACAAATTTACTAGTTTTGTAGCTTCAATAATTTATTCTGAAGAGTAACCAAAGAAAATATAAAACCAGTAAGATACGAATTATGAAGGACTATGCAGAACTAGTTTTATTATCTAACAATTCCTTTAAAGTGAATTCAGCTTATTTCATATATTTGCATGTGTGTGTGTAAACACATACATACAAGTGTATCCTTTGCCAGAAAAGTACCCCAACAGCATCTTGAGCAGGGTTGCTAATTGTCCATAAACATATGGACAGTCAGTAAAAAGGTATCACTTTTAACACTGTCAAACCCATAATTAGCAAAAGAAGTTTTATTTCAATGCTGTCATTAAAAGAGAAGGCATCAGTTTGTCCATATATCAGTAAAAAAGAATAGTAAGGTTTGCACCCATGATGAAAAACCAGTTTTGAAGCTCTGAATAACATAGTTTATCACCATATGCACTTTGTGTGTGAGTGTGTGTCTCGAGAGGAATGGAAATCTGAATTTAACACACTTTTTTTTTTAGTTGTTGTTGTTAAATGAAAAGTTTACTCTTTTTTTTTTTAAGTCGACAGCTTGCAAGCTAAAATCTGCTAAATAGAAAATAATAGATACTAACTCCATTTTGATACCCAATCTGTTGTTTAACTTACCACTTGTCACTGAATGGTAGATTTAATTTCACATTTGGTTTTTTATATTTAAACAGCTCATCTGGCTGAGTAATTCACAAGAATACATTAATAGCATCAATGATGCATATTCTTGAAATTCCTCCTTAAATAAAGTATTACTGTGTGAGTAAAAGACATTTAACACCATAGGTATAATTTTGTTTTGCTTTTAGGTTCCTACTGTACCAGTTAATGTTTATTCATTGCTTTTTGATAGTTTTGTTGATTATTAAATTACTCAGTATGTCCTTTGTTTTAACCTTATAAAGCATTATCAACAGACTTGCAAGTTCAATCCAAAATTGTCAACAGTATTTTTTTAAGTTTAAGGATTATGAGGTATGTTATGAACTCAGGTAAATTTTTGTTTCTTATTTTGTAATTAGTTGGTGATCTGTAAGTAGCCATTTTTTCAATCAGTTTGACTCCTCATATAGTGCGTGACTACCTGCTTGAGTTGTTGATTATCTATGTGTAGGTGAAGGTTTAGATGGTATGAAGAACTCGCCTGCTAATGGACCTGGTACACCGAGGGAAGATGGACCTCCTATGGGAGAATATGGCATAGCAGGGTATGGACAAGAAAATGTAAGTAACTGTCTCGAGATGAGCACACCCTTAATTCTTGAACTAACTAGATTCCTTGTGTTTCTTCAACTCTTTCACATTTTGTTAGGTGTGAATGTTAGACATGTTGTGAATGGTGTTAGTTTGAAATGTTTGCATCTGTGGTATATGTAATGTCAATCTCTTCAAGGAATCTAGTTAGTTCCACCCACTTTGTGGCCAGCCATTGATTGTATACTCTTGGGCTACAGATACCAGGGGATACGTCGGGAATTGACATGCAGTGCCATTTGCAGGCTTGTAGCAGTCATCAAGTTCACCCCTGTGAAATTTAAGTGCAGGATAAGCTCCAGGTATGTCTTTAGACTGCTGTCATTGTGCTCCACTGTTACACTAGTGAATGTGCACTCCCTGTGTTTGCTGTGTAGTGACCTTAAGCCTGAAACTGTAGCTGACTTTACATCCCTCTTTTCTTATATTCAGTTCAGTTCTCTAGTGCTCTCTATTTTTTATTTTATTGTTATTCATTTAAAAATTATTAGGAGTGTATTGCCCCAATATATCTTAAAACTTATGCTGTCTGTATTCCCAGTCTTTTCAAGTTTTGTTTTGGAAGCATGCTTGTAGTTTTCCTCCCTTTCTGCTTATTATTCTTAAATAAAAAGATGGAAATACTTTTGTATGGGTGCACTGTAGGAACATTACACCACATTATTATGTATGAAGAGGCTTAACATATTTTAAACCTATGTAAGACAAAGTAGATATAATAACTCATTTTAAGCTAACACATTATGATTACTGCTACAAAGAACAAAATTATATTAAGATTATAGAAAATATAATAAGGATAATTTAAGAGAAGCTTGTTCAGAAAGCAGGCTTAATTCGATGCCACTGCATGAAATAAACTTAATTTATGTTAATCCTACTTTATAATCACTAATGTAGTGTAGCATTTCAGTGGTGTATCCATACAAATGTCTAGTCAAGAAGAAGACATGATTCAATTGCTCTCTATGAAGCTCTTTCAAAAATAAACTTTCTTGCAACTGCACTTAAATTTCGTGTGGAGGTAAAGATGTGTCAAAACTCGAATGGTCAGTATAATATATATATATGTATATATATATTATATATATATCTATGTGGCAGGCTACATTTTTTAAGGAAAACCTGAATTAGTAGTTAATGTCAAAGGGGAGGAAAATTGTGCCAAGATCCCAGCTCAGTTTCAGACTTGTTCAGTGTTTTATAGAATGAATTAACTGTTTGTAATGCTTTTTTTTTATACTTTTGAATTATACGCCTTTTGTTCTTGCACTTATAGGATTGTTACTGTATAGACCCATTTGCCTGTTTTGTGGTTTAACATTTTGATTATTTGTTTTAAGTTAAACTCATAGTCACACTTCTAACTGGAATGAGGTTGTTAGTTCAAGATTAACAATTAATACAAACATTCCTTCTTGCTCTTGAGGTGAATGCAAGTTGATGTGTAACTTCATAATACAACAGTTAATTTCATTTTAAAATCATTTTTTATTATTATTTATTTCAGTAGTATTAATTTGTTCTGTAGTTCCTATTTGTGTATTCTGCCTCTTTTATTTCAGTTCTCTGTAGCAATGCATGCTTTATATCACATTTTTGCTTCTTATTTGTGTAATTGATAAGTGTAGGTTTTTGAGGTTTTAAATATTTTACAGGACCAAAATGAATCAGCGGCAATACTAAAAATCAAAGAGAGCATGCAGGAAGAAGCTAAGAGGTTTGAAAAAGACACCCCAGCAGAACAACCAGACTATTACCTGCAGTGACTTAAAGAATAACTGATTAAACCAGAGATATATATGTATATTTCCATACAGTCAAAACATGCTATTTCCCCATAGACTCCTGAAAAACAAACTAATGGCTTCAGTTCTGAAGTGTAATATTTACTCTCACTATGCTTGTAATATGTCACTTTTAAATAGGTTTAATGATTTAAAATAAAATTGTAGGTATCTTATATTCTATACATTGAATCCAAGAGTACAAAATTTAAGATTTTCATTTATTGCCCTTATCATTAAATCTTTTTGTCTGGTCCTGTATAAAGTTAGTTTTTGTATGTTATTATGACTTTTTTTTTCATAGGTATGAGAGTTAATGGAATCCAACACCACAGAAAAAAAATATATAAAAATTTTTACAAACAGCTATTATGCTTTTACCAAATAGAAGGGGTGAACTTATTTCAAATCTGAATGAACTGTATTTTAAACAGTATAATGGACTTAACTCTTGGAACAAAAGCTACTCTCTAAGTGGCTTTGAGCAAAAGTCTCTCTGTCAAAGTTTCATCTCCATGTCAGTATTTTCTCTTTCTCTCTCCCTCTTGTCACATCTTAATTCATCATCAATTTTGTGGCCATCACATCAGTAAGAATTCTTACAGAGACCATGAATAGTAAATGGAAAACTTTAAAACCAGATGATTGTCACACTTGTGAACCATTTTTCTGTCCACCCGTGAACTTTTCTCATCTTCTTTGTAACATTCCCTCTTAAAGCATTGAGCCATCAAATTTTGAAGAGAAACTTGCTTTTGATGAACAACAGAATTAACTTTTTCATGATTAATCAGTAGTAGATTTAGTAAGGTTATCCTTTTGTACTGACAACTGATTGACAGAAACCCGAAAAACAAGCTACTAGTTGTAGGATGATCCAGTTGGTTGAGGTTGCTTCTGCTTGACTAATGAAATTTGTCATTGATCTAAGCATTTTGTATGACTGGTTAAATATTTTATCAAACCAAACAGGCTACATAACTTATGAAATCTATATTTTGTTCAAGAAGACTGTCATTAAACTAGTTACATAAATGAATCACTACCAAGTTATCTAACTGTTAATATTTGTCAGTATTTCACTGAAATGTTATACGAAGTGGTAAATTGTTAGTGAATCACTCATTATAAACTCTGTTGTTGAGCCAATCAAAAGTGCTTGAACTAATGAACTTCTTTATTGATATTGTTAAAAGTGAGTTGTATAATTGATATAGTTTTGACAAGAGAGTAGAGAACACTTAAAAAAGACAGATGGTTGAAAACAAATGGTACCTGGCATTATGTGGTAGTCTTTGCTTATATATTGAAGTATGTTTAAACAATCAAATGTTATTTGTGAAACCTGTCTTTTACCCACTCAGAATTCTAAATTTAATTTATAAATACGTTACTATGAATTCATACAGTTTGTACTTCTTGTTAGAACGAAAAACGTGTCATAACTTTGGAAAAATGTGTAATAATTCAATGAGGGATTTGATTTACAAAAAATATAGTAAGGTTTGATGAAGTTGGATTTGCTATTTTTAAACGAAGTTTGACTAGCCAGTGCAGTTGAAATTTTTAACTAGTTCTATTTTTGGTTCAAAGTAATTTATATAGTTTTAATGCCCTCCAAAAGCCCAAAACAATTTCCCGACCTAGAAAATGGAACTTTTGTTTTTATTTTGTTTAAGCTATAAGTAATAAAAAGAACTAATAGTTAGCTTATTACACTGAAATCAAATAATTATTTTTCAAACATGTGACTTTCACTTATTTCAGTTTGTATATACCTGTATTTATTTTTCTACATGACAGCAAATATGGTTGAGGTTCTCTTCAGTTTCTTTGCCATATTGACTGAATTAATTACACTTGTGAACCTATTTGTATAAAGAATATTTATTGCTGTACTTGAATTATTGGTGGCTGCTCTGTTATCTTGTTTATATCTCAGATTTGTTCTTTTTAATTTAATTTTTGTTTTATTCTATGCTGTTCAGTGGGAAATTTTTTGATGGGTTTGATCTATGACCCAGAGTATTTATTATAAGCAGCCACCTTTGAATGATGTATGTTTGTTAAAGAACAAAGAAAAAGATAATAACTTAGTGTATGAAAGTGTTGTTTGTTTTATCGTTTTGGTGTAAATAGCTACTGTTTGTTGATTTAGACATGTAAACGGCTAATTTGTAGGGAGAAAGCTGACAAAATTTCAGGTTCAAGACAAACGAAGAAGAAGAAGAACAGTTGTAGGTGAAATAATGATGTCATGGAAAACATGCGTGTATTCTGCTGTTTTTTTTAATGTTTTGATAAATACGTTTTTTAACCTTTTTATGACCAGTGTTGATATCGCAGTTAACCAGATCATGATCTTGTACGATACAAATTGAGATTTCATTGTTTTTAGTTTTTGCTGTAGCTTCACATTTGTTAAATGGTGAGTCACTTCTGTAAAGCCAACCGTTGGGTAGATAACCAGCTCATTAAATTCTTTATTTCAATGATTTCTATTTGTGTGAATTTAATTTCTAGTTTGTTGGTTTTTATTTCGAAAAAGAAATGAAAAATTCAAAGAAAGACAGGCAATGATGTTTTTAGTCATAAATTAGATGGAAGTTTAAAGGAAACGCCTTAAGGTCTTTATAATAATGAAGCAAAGGATGAGTTTAAGCTAGCTCAAAAGCGGAAAATGTGAAGATCATCAAAACACACCTGTTCAAGTTACTATGTAACTTCTGAAAAAAAGGCCAATCAAGTAAGTTCAGTTTCTAAATCTGTTTTTATCTGTGTTCACTCTTAATTATGATTTGTTGGTTCTGATCAAACATAGGTTTCTTGTTAAGCCCAAAGCTACACAATGAGCTGCTATCTGTTCTCTGACCACAGTGGTCATCGAAACCCGATTATTTGCGTTATAATCTCTCAAACTTACGCTGAGTCACGGGGGCATCAAATATAGGAGGATAACAGCTTTTCATGTAATTAGTTTATGTTTTGTTTTCTTTGTGGAAGTGTCATGATAAATACTTTTAACCTTTTTATGACCAGCGTTGTTTTGGAGGTTAACCACATCATAATCTTATACGACGCAGGTCAATGAAATTAATTGTTCATAGATACTGAAACATGGATTCTCTGTATCGGAGTGAAAAATGTAGTGGAAAGAAGAAACAGAAAAAGAAAGAAAGTAGGCTAGGTATGATAAGGGTAGTGAGGACTGGGCCGCCTCCCATCCATCACTCGTGGCCAACATATTCTTTTTCGGGTTTGTTTTTGTTTGTTTGTTTTACCAGCTTCATTCTGATTTATACAACTTAATGATTATGTTGTAGTAAATATGATGAAACGGTCATAATGGAAAAGGCTTAGCTTTCATTAAAGACCATATATAACTTAATACAGGACACAACTATAGGCGCTAAGCAAACAACTTGCAATACTAAATTAAAAGCGTAAATGCAATATTTAAACCAATTTCAATAGTAAATTTTAATTTACGACGAGGATCTTGAGAACTACAACTAAAAACGATCTTTATATACACACATATATTGCTTATTTTTAGTGATGTGTCCACTGTGGGAAATCCAACCCCAGATTTTAGCGTAAGTCCACGAACTTAACCGCTGTTGTTAGGTGTAGTTTGATAACATCATGTGAATTTGGTTCTTTGTATCTCCAGGCTTGATGGATTAATTTGCTGTAAGTTGTCTAGTAGGGCACTACTAGTTTCATAGACGTGATACGTCAACACTCAGCAACTAGTTAAAGACCAGTTTCGACCAATGTAGAGTCTCTTCAAGTCAACGGGATGACTAAGACCTGTGAATGCATTTACCAAAAATGTCGTTCTAAGATTTATAGGCTAACTTTGAAATTATTAAGCTGAAAAACTAGTAACCTAGTTAATGGCAGTATTATGACACGAGGTCTTTTAATATTAAAAAATATACGATAAATCCGGTGCAATAAGTTAATTTGGAGATCTTTAAATGAAACTATGATAACAGCGTAGTGGGTATATACTATATACATCTACACTATGATAATAGCGTGGTGAGTATATACATCTACACTACGATAGTAGCGTGGTGAGTATATACATCTACACTATGATAATAGCGTTGTGAGTATATACATCTACACTATGATAACAGCGTGGTGAGTATATACTATATACACTATGATAATAGCGTGGTGAGTATATACTATATACATCTACACTATGATAACAGCGTGGTGAGTATATACATCTACACTATGATAACAGTATGGTGAGTATATGCTATATACATCTACACTATGATAACAGCATGGTGAGTATATACTATATACGTCTCCACTATGATAATAGCGTGGTGAGTATATACTATATACGTCTCCACTATGATAATAGCGTGGTGAGTATATACTATATACATCTACACTATGATAACAGTATGGTGAGTATATGCTATATACATCTACACTATGATAACAGCATGGTGAGTATATACTATATACGTCTCCACTATGATAATAGCGTGGTGAGTATATGCTATATACATCTACACTATGATAACAGTATGGTGAGTATATGCTATATACATCTACACTATGATAACAGCATGGTGAGTATATACTATATA